GTGTTGCCTCTCTCTCTTCCTTCCCACACATGCTCACATAGATGAAAAGGACCATGACATCTAAAGCTACTTTCCCCAGTCATGTGACAACACAGAGAAATGATTTTCCTCTACAGACGGGGACTTGCTCAGGCAGCTAGAATCTTGAAGCTCAGCTTTTGAGAAAAAGATATAGAATTTAAAAATATGTAACTTTCACTCCTCTGGACCTACCATCTGCTCTGAGTCCTGAAATACAGCTTAGAGAAACGTCCTAACAACGATATGGAAATTGGGGCAGACAGATGCACTTTCCACTTAGAAATAAAAGGAAAAGACAGCCTCATTCTGGAAGGGAGACTTGCCCCCATTGCTAGGTTTGAAGCCACACTGAGTAGTCACACTCGATGACAGGTGGCTGTGTAGACAGAAAATGCTTTCTTTCCACACTTCAGAAGTTTGCTTTCTAGACAGCGAATCTTAAGAGTTAGCCGGGAAGATCATTTCTTTTCCCCAAGTTCATTCTCAGACCATAAAAAGAAAGGTTTTCAGAGAAGTGATTTTTTTCAGAGTTGACCTTTCCAAAAGGCTTGTCGGCATTCTAGCCAGGGGCCGAGGTGATGTCAAGCCCAGCTGAGGAGAGAGGCATAGGAAAGCTTTCCTAAAGCTAATTTCACAGTCTGTCCCAGGAGTCAAGGCCAAAAGCCCTTTAAATTGGAAGGCATGCTTGCGGAGGGAGGAGCTTCTGTTCATACATGGAATTCATTTGGGGAATCTGAAGCTTCTTCTGGTCCATCAGTCACAGCAGACTTGTGGCTGTAAAAGCACTTAGAAGACCACAGTTTGATTCCCAGAAGCGACATGGAAGATCTAAGTGTGGCAGCGAGTGTTTAAAATCCCAGAGCTAGGGAAGTGGAGATCAGGGGCCCTGGGGCCCACGGGCCAAGCAGCCTTGCCTACTTAGCAAACTGCGGGCCGGAGGGAGACCCTGTCCCAAGAAACAAAGTAGACGGTGCTGAGCAAGGACACCCATGCTGACCGCTGGTCTGCACGTGGCTGTGAACACCCACACCAACACCAGCACCTGCACACACACAGAGCGAGGGAGGAGAGGGAGGGAGGCAGGAAGGAGAGAGGGAGAGAGAATTTCGATGCACACCCTTGTGTTTTCATGCTCTAATGGAAACTGTGTACCTCTGAGGAAAGCAATTATGTTTCTTTTCCTTCTGTTCCTTTCCCCGGTTTAGTGGCCAGCAATAAATCAGTATTAAATAGATACTGATGGATGGCTATTATTCAGCTTCTACAGCTCTCTTTAAAAAAAAAAAAAGATCTATTTTTATGTGTGTGTGTGCCTGCCTGCCTGCCTGTCTGTCCGTCTGTCTGTCTGTGGAGGCTGGAAGAGGGCATCAGATACCTCGGAGCTGGAGTTACAGGTGATAGGGATTGCCTAATATGGCTGCTGGGAACTGAGCCTGCATCCTTTGGAAGAGCAGCCGGTACTCTTAACCACTGATCTGTCTCTCTGACCCCAGCTCTTAAGATACGCTAACTCTGTAGTGGGCTATTTGTGTTCCTTGGCATTCATAATTACTTGGAAGCTTGGAATGTGATCATATTTGGAAATTGAGACCAAGAGGGCCAGTGTCACATGAAGACAGAGGCAAAGATTGGAGACACACCAAGAAATGATGAGGGTGACCAGAGAGAGGCTACAGATGCTGGTAGCTTAGCCACTCTGGGAGGATGGGAGGAACCGCCCTGTGCGGCGCTGGTGGAGATTCATTACTGCAGTCCTGGCGGTCAGATGCACTTGAATAAAAGGAAAAAAAACCTGAGTTTCTCCTTTTAGTCAGCCATGGCAGCAGGATGGAGTTGCCCATCATTTACCTTTCCTGTCCTGAGGACTGGCATTTCTGTAGTTTTTCCCCAAGTAGGGTCTAACTCCTGCTTTGGGAATTCATGAACTGATGTCTAATGTTAATGACGTCCTCCTGTGCATGTCTGTTCCGAGCTCTTCAATATTAGCAGTGTCTTCCCCGACCATGGGCGTTCTGAAAGACAGACTGCTTCCTCTGTAGGCAGAGGGACTGTGGAGAACCCGTCATCCTGCAAGGCCTTCATTGTGCACCCAGAATACAGAAATGCCGCCTGGCCTGTGCTCCAACTCACACCTTGCCGGGAAGTTCCAGTGGCTTCCTCTTTCTAGCTGCAGCTGTATTCTCTGGACTGTCGACTGAGCATCTGGAACCTTTTGCAATCCTGTCTTCCTCCTCCTTCTGACCCCCACCCACCCACAGGCCCTCAAGCACCAGAATATTGATCTGTGAGAGGAGCCGGCCTCCTCCATCCCTGACAGACTTCCCCAGCTGCAAGCAAGGCTGTGGTATCTCTCCCTCCTGCCATGTCCCGAGCTGCTACAGGCGCTTCTCACAGTCCCTTCTCCGGGAGCTGACAGGCAGCACCAACCTCCTGCCCTGTCCTATGGGGACAGCCTGACCGTCCTCTGGCTTCCTCATACAGTTTCCAGCAATAACAAACAAGACTAAGTTCCTGAACTCACAAAACTTTTCACGGTCTTGGAAAATCATAGGAAGAAACAGCTGTTAGGAGCTGACTCCTCCCTTGGGCCTATTCAATACTTCTCTCTCGCCTCTCCTCCCCCCCTTCCTCTCCCCACACACGTGTCAATTCTATTAATTGACCACGTCGTCCTTCTGCCCCTAACCTGGGGTACAGCTTGTTGTCTACACTGTGGTAGATGTGGGAAATACGCTAAACAATATCAGCCGCATCACATCATCACCATGACCTTGATCTAGCATAATCCCCTTTCTCATCAATACACAAAGCCAGCGTTTCAGTACAGAGAGGTATCTGTGTAAAGTTCTCCTCAATGTTCTCATTCATGAAACAGAAAATGGACGACATTGCCCAAGCTTGGCGGCAAGCCTTTGAGGGAACGGCAGAGTTCATAAATACAGGTGACCCCTGCCTGCTCTGCTGTACGTAACCATTACATTTTTGTCAAGTTCTTTGGGAACTGCCAGCTAAATGTGAAGGAGGGCTAACCTTCTGGTAAGAATGCAGTGACCAGGCATGCCACCCCAGCTACTATATTGCTTGCTGCAAAGGGAAGGCGCCGTCCGAGACGCTCAATGGTCAGAAGGATCAAGAGAGCTCCGGGCAGCTCCACAAGCCCCGAGATGAAGAAGTCTAGGTAGAGGTTGCCGCCGACAATCCCCAGGCGCATGACAAGTCCTTGATAGACCACAGCACTTGTGAACCTGCAAGACATCGGGAGACACCAGGGGAGCAAAGTAAGAGAGAGCGGGTCCCGTGGACGGAAGGAAATGATGCACTTGACACCGGCTTCCAAGGCCAGCCCGGGTCAACTCACCAAGCAAACATAAGAATCAGTGTGCATTTCCTCATTTGGGGAGTCCTCACGAGGTCTAAAAAGGATGGGTTGCTAACTTCTTCGTCTGTAACGGTGATCTAGACAAGAAAGGAAGATTTCAGTAGCATTGTAGGGCAAAATACACCAGCACCCGCATAGTGTAAACTTGTTGCTAACTGTACAAAATTAAAATGATGTCCCTGAACTTCTGGGCCTTTCACAATTGCCTCTTTAAACCTGGGCACAGAGGGGATTTTCTTCCAGCGTTTTCAATAGGCCACACCCACAGAGACAACGGTTAACTCAGGTCAACATCTGAGGATAAACTCAAGACTGATGTTACATAGCTTAGATCACATTCCGTCTACATCGCTAAGTACCTTTCAGCACCCCAGCTGATACACAACACCCGATCCCTAGAAAACCTTCTAAGCACAAGGGTATTATAGTACTATGCTGTTTAACTCTTAGCGTGGCATAACCCAGAAGCGCCTGAAAGGGGCGTCTTAGTGAGGAAATTTCTAGATCATGCTAGGCTTTAGACTCACCAGTGGGGGACTGTGTCGATGGTTAATCGAGGTGGGAAGATTAACCCTGAAGGTTGGTGGTGCTGTTTCGTGGGGCTATGTAAGAGGACAGAAAGGAAGGCCAGAACCAAGCAAGGATGCATAGTCTATCTTGTCTTGACTGTGCATATGACGCGAGGTTCTGCCCTGGCTTCCCCTGACTGATGGACTGGAATTGTGAGCCAGACAAATTTGTTCCTCTCTAAGTGGTGTGTGTGTTGGGGCATTATCAAAGCATCAGAAATGAAACCAGAACAGGCCATTTGCTGACCCGAGAGTTGCAGGGTTAATGCTGGAGGAACTTGCAAAGACCAACTTTGACTACCATCAGAGAAGAAACAGTTGAGAATCTGGGCGCTGAAGTCCAGCTCTGTATTTTAACTGCTATCTATACTCTGCATTATAGTATACCTTTATTTCATTGATTAAAAGTGTAGTTTGATAATCTCATTCATAGTTCTCACAAGTTAGTGGGACCATGGAGACTTTTTTTCCCCTGAATATCCACCTTTAAAAACATGATTAAAAGTGTAGTTTGATAATCTCATTCATAGTTCTCACAAGTTAGTGGGACCATGGTGACTTTTTTTCCCCTGAATATCCACCTTTAAAAACCAGCTAAGTCTTTATCCTGTCAGTGTGAGAACATGAACTCCACTCCTCAGAACCCACACAAAAAGCTGGGCGTGGTACTGCGTGCTGGTGAGTCTGGTGTTGGGAGGCCCATGCCTGAGTTCCACATCAATCAAAGACCCTCTTTCAAAACAAATAAGGTGAATGGCTCCTAAGGAATAACACCCAGGGTTAACTTTTGGATTCCAGAAACATGTGCTTACATATTCACATACACATACAAGAATAAAAATAAAAAACCTTATTTTATAACAAGAAATAGTATTTCAAAGTGATGGGTTTAAAATTAAATATCAGTGTACCCGATGGTTTCTTATCAGATCCCTTCCCCTGTGTACGCATACATGCTCATGTATGCAGACACACACACACACACACACACACACACACAGTCAATTCATGCTCAGTGGAGCTGTCTTTGCTTCTGGTTATAGGCAAGGCCTGATTACCGCATGGTAATACTATCCTCTGACTGTCCCATTTGAGCCAATGAGAGATGGGCATGTTACTCAACCTGGGTCAATGAGAAACATGAGTCTTAATTTGAGCCAATTAGAAATGGGCATATGTCCTAATCTGAGCCAATGAGAAAATGAGCTCACAGCCCAGTTTGAGCCAATGGACAAAACATTCTAGAAAAAGTCCTTTACTTCCCTTGATTCAGAGATACCCAAAGGAATCCTCTCTCTCTCTCTCTCTCCCTCTCCCTCTCTCTCTCTCTCTCTCTCTCTCTCTCTCTCTCTCTCTCTCTCTCTCTCTCTCTCATACACCTCAAAAACTTAATGACAAAATAGTGGGCTCAACTAGACTTTGGCTGACACCAATCATACACAGGGAGCCAGGCTGAGATTGCTGGCTCAGGGTGGACACGGGGGTATGTAGGTTTAATGAGTTTCCCAGACCCTGGCTAGGACACCTCTGAACGCTGCTGGGTCTAGAATTCCAGATACACAAGTCAGTGAGTATCTTTATTGTCCCAGTGCATTGAAATTGGCTTTCTGTTACTTGAAGCCAAAAGCAGAACTATCTGAAGATTTCAACCCAGAACGATTTCTTGCTTTGACCACTGAATATTTTAGGCAATATAATTTTATTGTTAAAATAACTGCTTCCATGTTCTAATTCACTGCTATTCCAATTCACTGCAAATATATTTGATTCAGTGTAAAATTCTTCCGCTTTGGGACAAAGCAGTGACTTAACTCTGCTTTTCAGAAGCCCAGGTTTACAGTGTAGCCCTATAACCACCTGTCCAGCAGTTATGAACCTCTGGTAACAAGGGGAAGTAATCGGAACCACAACATGGTTCTTCCCTGCGCAGTGAATGAAGGGATTAATAGCACTGTCAGGCAAGTAAGCATTTTGTTACGGTGCAGAGCGAACCCAGCTGGTCTTTGATTTATTAGCATCATCTACAGTGACGCAGATATTCTGAAAGATGACCCACTTTCTGGATGTCCAAAGACCTCGAGAGACTAAGCCGTATCTTGGACGGAGAGTATCCAGTCGAGCCCTGCCAACCCATGCACGTGGTGTCTGGGCTACTGCTCTTTTACATAACATCTCGCTATGCAGCTGTTGTTTCTTTTCTGTAGCCGAAAAGGGTACCGGACTTTTGCCTAGTCTGAATCAGACACAAAAGACCTGAAATGCCATTTTAGATGGTTACACGTTTTTAAAAAATGCATTTTTTAATAAGGTGTGGGTCTCTATACAATAAAACCCAACAACTTAAAATAGAGCCCTCTAGGAGTTCTGACGTATCTATACACATCTAACAATTACTGTGCCTACATGCCCGTGACTACCAGGTTCTTTCACGATGTCCCCAAATCCTGCCCACTCTGGGTAAGGGGAGCCCTCGTCCGCTCCCTGTTGGAACAGCTTTTCTGTCTTTAGAACTTCAATAGAGGTAGACTCTAGAATGACTCCTTCTTGGTTGTCACACCTCCATTTGTTCCAAGTGGGATGAACCCTGGTTTGTGGCAAAAGGGCACAATATTTGTCCGTTTAGAGGCTAGGTTCCTAGCCATGCTCTCGGCAAAAAAGGCATCGCCCAAGGTTCAGCTATGGATGCTGCTGGCCTCCTTGCTTCTCAACAAGCTAACCATCCTTCCAGCTGTCTTATCATTCTGCCAAGGCCGCATAGTCCCTCAGCAGGGAGGCATGCTGTGTTAAAAGGCTACTCTGACCAACCCAGTAGCCTTTATAATTCTTCCTGGCACTTTTCTGATATATTTCTTCAGGTGAACTTTTAATTTAAATTGCCAAGAAAGATGAAGGCTTTGTAAACAACCATGTTATAAAAAAAATGATGCCAAGGACTCCCCAAATGGAAGGCCAGTTTTGGGTCAGAAAACAACACCCAGATGGATTCCAGAAGTGATGTGATGTTTAGTTCACAATATATGTTTTTTTTTTTTTTTTTTTCACTCAACATGTTACTGAAACACCATGAGCTTGGTTTTCTCTTCGGTAGTACAAGGATGCTAATACTCCATGATTTTAAAGATTCAGTTAGACACCATGTACATGTAGACCACATGCATGTGTAAGCTGGATACTATTAACGTTAGGGCCATTTTTTTTTTTTTAAGCAACATTTACTTGTAGGGAATAATTCGTTCACCACTTACTCTGTCTGTGTTACAAAACAGAGATCCTCCAAAATGTACAGAGACACAAAGCCCTTCCCATCATGAACCGCCACCATTCATTTTTAAAACTTGCATTTCTATGCACTATTTTGAATATAACAACTACATTTCATATGACACCCCAGGCTAAAAAAAAAAAAAAAAAAAAAAAAAAAAAGTGGGTGCGATTGTTCTAAAATGCACACACAAGCTACTGTGTTCAACAGACTTGGTACATGGAATTCATCAACAGCCCACCATACCCAGGGCTCACTAAGTACATCCTGTCCCGGGCCTCAGATCTCCGTCTGTATTTCAGGTTCTTTGGGGAACTAGCAGAAGAAACTGAGTCAATGAATAATCCCAGGTCATCTGCTGACTCCTAAACCTTGGCTCCTCCCAAAGCTCTGGGTTTAGAAGAGGCGATGGTTCCCGCAGGCTCAGGAGAGAATAACGCCTCTTACATTGCAGGATCTACCCCAGGCAGGAGGAGGGCACAGGGCTGGTGGCTGCATGTGCAGTCTTGTAAATCCATTTGGTAGTTCTCAGTATGTGATTTACAGCTAAGATGGCCACGAGCTCTCCACCATCATGATGTATTCAGTAATGATGTCATCATAAGTGGACTACAGGCTCCACCCTCCAGAAGCTTCTAGTCTCTAAGTCGATGTGAATCAATGAGTGCTCAAAGGTTTGAGGTGTACTTACTTGAGCAGTCAGGAACCAGGGTACCCAGAGGAAGAGAGCTTTGTGGTGCTGGAATGGCAGCCAGTGACTGCTGAAGGTTCCCAGGGCCTTTTAACCACTACCTAGTGGATAACCCCACTACGCAGACAAAGGCCAGCTCTAGAAGCACCAAAGGTTCTGGTATCTGACATGAAAGAGCTTCAGTTCATTTTTGGGCAGAAGAACACCGCCTGCTCTCCACAGAAAGCACTGTGCCGAGCTATACGCAGTCCACACTGCCTGCTCTCCAGGAAGAGAGGGGTGTGCCGAGCTACCTGCTGTCTACACCACACGCTCTCCACGAAGCAGAGTTGCCAAGCTACCTGAAGCACTTTGAAAAACTTACCAAAAAAAAATCTATTAAACTATAAAACGAGGACAAATAAAACATTTACTATATAAGAGCTCATAAAGGAATGCCTGTATTGACCCTTACATCCAAGGCTCAAGAAACATCAAGAAGGAAGGGGAGGGAGGTGTAGGAGGCAGAGGTTCAGGACACCTGTTGAAGAGGTGTCTTCCAAATGTGACAGGGAA